AAAAATGGTATCAGAACATCTCTAGTTGTTTATGAAACATGAATTTGACAACAGGAGAATTCATAAAGAAAGATGCAAACATTGTCAAATCACATCGCTGCAGTGTTGCTCTCTTAGTTCAAAAGTTTAAACCAAACCCCATTTAGCAAAGTCACAGCTGTATCATAAAAATACCAAAGACTTTTGTCACCTGCAAGGAGATGCCAGTTGATTAAAAAAAAAACAACACTCGGAGACTAGGTGAGTTCTGCTTAGCACACATAAACAATGGTCAGTGGCACAGGCTCTGATTACTCGGTTTCTGTCAGGTTTTTGGCACTCAGCTTAGTCTCAGGAGGGTCAGAGTGATGACTGCTATCTACAAGCTGTCAAAGTAGACCAGAATTATGAACTAAAAGCTGAAATCAATGCCACAAAATCAAAATGACAATAATAGCTATGCCATTAAAATGGAGATTTAGCATTAGAACAGAATTTTTTTTCCCTTTAACTATCGAGTCAAACAGGCTGCCCTATAAGACAAGCTTATAACAAATTTAATTGTCCAGCAGTATTTCATATTCTGTTTTGTCTTAAAGTTAACTTCAAATAAGGCATACTTCATGAAAGAATTAAGCTTCATCAATCATCAGTATATCATCTATTAATGCTTTATAGATCAGTAATGTGCTATTAATAAATACATTTTGGTCCAGATGCACTGCATCATTTTCCCAGAAGGTGACTGTAGGTGACTGTTATAAGTTATTTTTAATCAAAAACGTCATACATTCTCTGGTTCCAGCTTCTGAAATGTGAATATTTGCAGACTTGTTAGTGTTCTATGATGGTGAATTTTTTCTTATCTTTTGGTTCTGGACTGTTAGTCAGACAAACCAAGACAATTGAAGATCTCAACTTGGGCTCTGGAGACTTGCAATGGAAATGTTTTAATTCTTTGACATTTTATAGACCAAATTATTAATTTATTAATTGGGGAAATGATTGGCAGATTAAATCGATAATGAAAATAACTGTTAATTCTTCCTGATAAATGAAAGAGCTAATTATGAAACAATATTTGAAAATTATGTTTATATTGTTTTCATTATTTATAAAGCTACTCATTCACTTATTAACCATTAATAAAACCATTACCTGCACCTTTAAAACCTTATTTCTAAAATATTTTTGCCTCATCAGAAACTAAAAACAACTAAACCTTGTGTATAAATATAGGTATTTCAGACACTGTTCAAATACTGTTACGAAACATGTTGTCTCCTTTTGTTCTATGACATAATAACACCTTACATAAACCTGACCTTAGACAATAGACATCACATCAGAAGTCAGCAGTTAAGATGCCATGTAACCAAGCCCTGATATTTCCTACTCGTCTCTTTCTCTCCCACTCCTGCTTGTCATACTTCTCCCACTATGCATCAGAGAGATGACCCCTGCTTCACCCTTGGCACAGGGTGTGAGCTGGGTGTCCCAGTCAGACCTGTCCTGCTGAATGCCTTATGACAGGTTGTTTGTGAAACTCTTGTGTTCTGTTTGTTCCCTCTACCCTCCCCTGTCCTTGCTGACAGTGTCCCCATTGTGAATCTGAAGGGCCTTGCTTTGTTTTGCCTGCCTCATTGGAGCCAGTGTCGGTCCAACGAGGGCTCGCGCACACCTCTGCTCATTCTCTGGGAGCATCTGTTGACTTACCTGCCCATTATTTAACTTTTTCTGCCTATTAATTAACTATTATCACGGGGTTTGTGGGGTTTAATGTGCAGTTCATATCATTTTGTTCAACTTGTGCTGCTAATATGGAAGATTAAGTTATTATAACGTGAAATATTTTGAAAGTGGAATGATTATGTAACAGTAAAATGTGATTGTACCACTGAATAAGGAAAACCTTAATATAATTAACATATGTTAATCTTGTTTGTCTTGTTGTTGTCCAATTAACAGCACCACTCCAGTTTAATTTCTTCACGGGTCATCTTTTGTAGTTTATATAAACAGAGAATCAATGATTTGGCAAAAAAAAAAAAAAATGACATTGAATAACAATACAATTCAATCAAATCCAGTCTCGTGTCTACATCCAGTCATCTACCTAACTCCCCCCTTTTCCCTCCTTCCCTCCCTCATCTCCTGTTCCTAACATCAGCGGGGAGCGTGGCTAATTTACGAGCGTGGGCAATGCCAACATACTCTCTGAGGAGGGCCCGTTTTAACACCTCCAAATGCTGTAATGCATCCCAGCTGACCTTAATTATAAAAGCATGTGCCTCCCCTGTGCTCCCCCCAACCACCCCCCACCCCCTATATACGATCCACAAGGCTGGGGGTGTGAGCCAG